GAGTGCCTTCCGCTCCTGGTGTGCTGAGGGACTTCGGGGATTGTTCTTCTTCCTCCCTTCTGGGTATTAATTGCTGGCATCGGCGTATCCTGCAGCGGGTATGGTGGCTGCATGACATTGTTTTGCATCATGAAGTTGACCACTGACTGTAGGTCTGCCAACCTGTTTGCCAAGTCTTTTACCTCCTCATCCCTCCGTAGGCACCTATCCCTCCATACCTGAAGGTTATCTTCGTTATAATACTTGCTTTGGTCTGTCCTCTTCGAAGTGTCGCCCTCCTAGCCAATGTCTTTCTCTCCGTGGCCCTGGTCATGAGTTTCTACATTGTGGTTATCTCCTTCAACGTCAAGGTCAATTGGTCTGCCACTCCCAGCAGGAGTGTCGCCCCCAATGTTTTCCTTCTGTCCGTTACTGGCCATCTATTCTTCTAAGTTCCCACAGACGGCGCCAAATTGTGTGGGTGATTTTCTGACCACACAGCCCGCCTAGTAATCAGCTGGAGAGCACTGGTAGAATAGATGGCTTCAACTAACCTGTAACAGAAAGAAAAGGATCCGGCGGTGGCTCTTCCACCCGGGGACACTCCGACAATCAAGTCAATATATCTCTCAAAGATATTCAAGTGCTAAACTCACTACTCAAAGCATAAAATTGCGTACCTTAGACCCACGGGGGTGCCTCTTTTTTATAGTTAACTCAATCCCAGTCCCACTAGAAACCTGACTTCTATGGACTTCTATTCAGTGCTTACTTTGGATTTCACAAGAGATAAAGATAAACTCCCTAAGAGTTTTATCCTTATCTTAGCTAAGTCTCCTCTTCATTCTAGGACTTCTTGTCCCTTATCCGTTTATCTCGAATTCCGATATCTTCGGAGATAACCTCAGCCTTGCCGATAATCTCGGCGTCACAACCACGACACGTGGCACCTCGGCTGACACGTCAGCGTCACCTTGCCACGTGTTGGTATTCAGAAAATACATTCCCACATAAGGGATTCAACAACTTGTCAAGGGTGCCATCATGTTTGATTCTCTTTTTTGTGGGAACCAAAAAACATTTTAATAATGTGCACAAAATGTTATTATCTTTTTTGTGGGAACCAAAAAACATTTTAATAATGTGCACAAAATAATATTTTGTGTAGCCATGATAAATCGATGGACAGCTTGCCTAATGAAAAAAAAAAAATGTGCACAAAATAATATTTTGTGCAGCCATGATAATAAACTGGATAGCTTACCTAATGGAAAAATAATAAACCTATTTTTTATATTTTATAGTCAACTTCGGTGTGTTTGAATAAATAAATAAAAAATGTGTTCAAAATTCAAAATCAAAATCATTTATGAACCGAGACAACAATATATACACCAAATAAACAACAAATAAAAAATATAAGGAATTCATATTCGTTTACACATGAAATAAAATTGATTTTGCAAATGTAAAATAACAAAAGCTATCCATCACATACAAGGTACGCACATATTGACTGAAAAAGTAATTTTTACACATCCAGATTCCCATGAACACGACAGTGTTCACGTGATTTTTGCAGTAATGTGAGGGTTACATCCAAGATAGTAAAAAAACACAACATGCCAAATGAAAAAGCTATGCTCTACAATTGTAGCACCTGTCCACAAAAAATTTATTTTTAAGTCATGTACATTGAACAAGAAATTATTATCATCTTTTTTACACAAATGTATGTATATTTTTATGTTGTTTCATTCATTATGGGTTGGGTATGTACACTAATTTCACTTTTATCCATTAAAAACTATTCACTCTGTTTGGTTTCTATTTTTATAATTCACTTTTTAAAAAGTTTACATTTTTATTTTCTATATTTTTTTGTTTTCACTGAATTTTTTAAGTCATGTAAACATTTTTTTTAATTTTTAAACAAACCTAATATAAATACACTTTAAAAATATAATATTTGTGAATTTTTTTTAAAAACAATTCACGACAATACTAAAAATACAAAAAAAAAAAAACAAAAAAACCATTAGTGTTCATTTTCCTTTTTTTTTTGTGTATTTATTAATTTTTTAAAATATTTTTTTACAAATATTTTAATATTTAGATATAGCCAAGTAAGACGCATCTAAAAAGTAAAAAAAAAAATGCTTAAAATTTTAAAATTATTCACTAAAAACAATTTTTTACGAAAAATAAAAAAACTTTTCTAAAAAATTGAATTCAGAAAATTAAGATTGAACAGACTGATTGTCATTTTTCTTTTTCATTTGTAAAACTAATTTTATCTAATTAAACTTGAAGTTTTTATTTATTTATTTTTTATTGAAATGAAAATTAGGATAGATAAAGTATTGTTTTACAAACCAAAACAGAAACAGAGGGGGAGAAAATCCCTCAAGCTACTACTGATCAATTCTGCAACTAAAAAGGATTGAATGGTGCTTGGTGGATCCTGTAAGAAGACCCCTTCTGTTCACACCAATGTTAGCCAGAGCATTTGCACTCTGATTTGCCTCTCTTGGAGTGTGCTGGATGGTGCAATTGCATCTCTTTAACATGAAGTTAGAATCCTCAATTAGAGCTCTGAATAACAAAAGTTCTTTCAGCTCCTCTGATCATGAATGTATAGTGTATAAAATTTCCAGTTCAAACCATAGCTGTGAACCCAACTCATGCATAGACCATAGATATACAACACACTTATAAAAAGTGGGTCATCACTATTCAATAAGAATTTTGACAACATCCCTTAAAACCCAGGAATCGAAACACATTTACAAATAACGTGCCTGTTGCATAAAAAGCCATGATAACATCCAACACATCACACACCGATTCCAAAGTAAAAACATCCTACAGCCACTGTCCAATCTGTTTGTAAGGGTAGGAAAATAAAATACACACAGTCACGGGTTGTTGGCAGGGGAATGTAAAACAAACATAGGAGGTAGCAACATGGTAGAAAAGTAATTATTTTTGGTAATGAAACATGAACCCTTTCCGGTGACTAAAGCCGTTAGAACCACCCAGTCATTCTGGGGCCGTGAGTTGGCGCTAATGGGGCACTTGCATTCTGGGACTTCTTCATTCGCAGCCAAGTAATGACTGCCGCGTCCGTCGAAATCTGCAACAATATTGCTTGATTTGCCGAATTGTCCATTAGCGTCAAACCATAAGGGATTAGTGGGTCTTGCGGGTCCAAGCCTTGTAGGGAGTACAACCTTGCCATACACTTGCGAATACAGTCCGAGGCCGAGTCTCCATACTCATGATGCACGCGGACTTCTCGTTGTTGTAATTTAACTGAAGACGCAAGGTTTTCCATGCTACTCGCCAAGAGCGATGCTTCCTCACTCTGCCTTTTTTTCCGCTGTGGGTGTGTTGTGCGACTGAATTTGCGTTTGCTCCCACCACTCGTAGGTGTGTTATCAGTGTGAATTGCCAATAACGCAGCATGTACAGTGACCGGGGTGTCCTCCTCTTGCGCAGGACTGTGGTGGACAGTGTGTTCATGCTGCGAGGATGGCCTTCGCAGTCTTCTTCGTCTACCAGCAAAGGATTGTCCTCTGTGGCGACAGGCTCGAACGCTGCCCCTGGTGTCCATGCAAATTTCTCGATTGCTGTTGCACCTTTGTACACCCTTGGCATTAGGTCCATATGCTCCAACGGTTTCATTTTGAACTTCAGTGCATTCTTGTCAATCTGGGAAAAACCAAAACACGTAAACATAACTTAAAACAACGAAGGAGGAGAAACACAACAGCAGCCATGATGCAGGTTTATGTTATAGGTTATAAGTCGTTACCAGATTGCATGAATTCTTGCAGTGCTGTGACCTGATTGCATTGCCACATTACCTTCATTGTTTTCATATACTGTCCCTCTAATCTCTTTAACATTTATAAGTTGTTACCACATTCCACCAAACTTGAAGCAATATTTGCACAACCAAGATAGTACTACTGATGCTTTCGACTCTAATAACAAACAGCAGGAGCTAAACAAACAACATATATCCATATAATATGAATAGAACTTGCATCACCTATAATTCCTTCAGAAAAGCAAATGAAGTAAATTAAACTTGATTGAGACCACAAAATCCATGGCAATAAGAAAGTGCAGTTTTAGCACAACATAAAAACTTTTCAGAGGGAAATAAAGGATTACCACAATGAGTACTGATGCCACTAATAGAGCTATCCACTTTAATAGAAAAGAAATACAGCTGCCAATAAACCTCAACCTAACCAAACACCCAGTCTCCTCCACAACATCATTTTTCTTCTTCCTACTCTTTGGTTTGCCCACATCCCAAGACTCCCTTTCCTAATCCCATATTTCACAAACCCTATAATCAAACCCAGAAATCATCAAAGGTCTCCAAATTCCCCCCTCCTCCGTCTTTCCCCCTCCACAACCCAACTCACAGAAACCCTCCGCTCAAAATTTCCTGATAAGCCCTTCAATTTCAGAGCTATTTCAGAGCTAATTAGATCATACCTAATATATGATAAGAAATTAACTCCGGCTTGTTTTATGACAGTCAGCGGGACAGGTTACTTTTATCAGTCAGCAAGACAGCTTACTTTTATGACAGTCAGAAATTTTTATAACTCTCCCACAATGCATAATCAATTTTTATATATAGTAAATTATTTAAGCAAAAATACTTTCTTCAACAAAATGACAATAGTGGAACCCACGTTTTCGTATGCAGGAAAGGAAAATAGTTTTCATTTTTGTATTTCTTTCATTTCCTATCAATTAAACGCAGCCAAGATTTAAATAGAAAAGAAGACATGTGCACAATCTTGGAAAGCTAGAGGTGGCACCAATAAGGAAAATACAAATTGAAAGTTAAGTTAAGATTGTTTGGCCATGCTTAAGTACCAATGAATCCATTAGCTAGTGAAGTGAAGTCACTTGATGCAAAATAATGGGATTGAGGAAAGGTGATAAACTATAATTCAACAAAGCTTATTGAGTGAACTCTTGTTGGGTTCTGTCTGTCTGTCTCTCTCTCTCTCCTTTTTTTTTTTTTTTTTTTTTTTTTAGTAAGAATTTTGACATTAAAATATTAATGAAGAATTTTTATAAATAGTAGACGTCCCCCGAACGCCCCGGGAGGAACGAGCTCCCGTTCTGTTCATTTGGGGTCACTACAGCTCGGACTCTTAAATGTCACGGTTCTTAATCTGAACCAAAGAGTCCAAATCCGGCACATTGTTTTGAGAAACTGATTTTTGAAAAAAGTAGTGCCAAACATGGACTGCTTTGCCAGATACAGAGTCGCCACCTAAATATTTTATTTTGGGAAATTTTTAGGAAACCCTAACTTGTGCCTAAGGCCACGTGTCCGTCATCACCAAAGTTGCCTCGGCTCGGGAACTTGGGTACGATTGGGGAAGGTCACTTCGTGAGCACCCCCGCTCGCCCGGTCATAGACCGGCCTCTACTACTCATGATGCACGCGGACTTCTCGTTGTTGTAATTTAACTGAAGACGCAAGGTTTTCCATGCTACTCGCCAAGAGCGATGCTTCCTCACTCTGCCTTTTTTTCCGCTGTGGGTGTGTTGTGCGACTGAATTTGCGTTTGCTCCCACCACTCGTAGGTGTGTTATCAGTGTGAATTGCCAATAACGCAGCATGTACAGTGACCGGGGTGTCCTCCTCTTGCGCAGGACTGTGGTGGACAGTGTGTTCATGCTGCGCGGATGGCTGGAAATGGGGCAAACCACTGCTGTCTTCGCAGTCTTCTTCGTCTACCAGCAAAGGATTGTCCTCGGTGGTGACAAGTTCGAACGCTGCCCCTGGTGTCCATGCAAATTTCTCGATTGCCGTTGCACCTTCGTACACCCTTCGCATTAGGTCCATATGCTCCAACGGTTTCGTTTTGAACTTCAGTGCATTCTTGTCAATCTGGGAAAAACCAAAACACGTAAACATAACTTAAAACAAGGAAGGAGGAGAAACACAACAGCAGCCATGATGCAAGTTTATGTTATCTGGACCATCTCTAGGTCGGC